GAGAAAGTTCACCTTCTGGGTTATTGAAATTGACCACAGATCACCTTGAATTACTAAACATTTTTAGCAATGAAAATAAGGATCCTGGCCTAATTGCAATATCTTTATTGTCACCCCTTGCCTAAAGCCCCCACTCCCTCCCTTGCCTTTCTTTCCTTCTAAGCCCCCTCCCACACTACACATTGGTGAAGGTTCTTTACTCTGCAACCAACCTGTCCAACACTGAGCAAAAAGGAAAGAAAATATTTGAATCTCGTGCACTACAGGGTGCCTTAGTGTCCATGCATGTGCACCAAAGACATAATGCATCCTTCCCCCTCCCCCAACTCAGATTTAATTTCCAGAGATTCAGAAAAGGCAACAAAACCTGAAGAATGGCAACTAACAAAAACAAACATGGTAAAATACATCAAAAATGGACAGTGATTCACTAAGGAGAGGGACCAGAAAAATCAGGATTTCTGCAGGTAAATGTGAGTATTCGCCTTGTCTTGAATAAGGCTTGCAGAGTATAACTAGTTCAAAACTGAAAGCTCAACATCACCGCCTTGTGGCTGAGCCTGGTGCTTGAACAATGCTAATTTTCATAATTCAGATGCCATCACGTTGCAGCTGACATACAGCAACCCCAGAGGGTTTTCAAGGCAAGAGAGGAAAGGAGAACAGAGGTGGCTTTGCCATTGCTGGTTTCAGCATTGCAACCCTGGACTTCCTTGGTGGTGCCCATCCAAGTACTAGCCGGAGCCAACCCTGCTTACCTTCCAAGATCTGACTGTCCTGGGCCATTCAGACCAGAAAGTAATAAATAGTTGGATCTAGCTTATTATATATATAATTTGTCTTTAAAAATCAGGCCAGGTCTGAAAAGTTGACTGAAACTCTGAAGGGAAAGTTGCCTCTCTCCAAATAGCATTGGGAACTATTGCCCTAAGGAAATATAGGAGGTCTATACAAATGTAATCCACCCATAGCGCCATGGGGGGATTTTTTCCCAAGCCTGGAGCCTTATTTTCCCACTAGAAGGTAAAGATCTAGAGAATCTGGACAGGCAACTGTCGTTGACATGTGGAGAGATATACATTTGCCCTCTGCTAACAGCTGAGGGTTTAGACAACATAAGACACACACACCCTCCCAAAAGCTAATTGTGTAAAAGAGATAATTACTGCATTCTCAGAAAGTAGAATAACTGTTTTTCTCTTAAAGATTGTGAGGGTGTTTAATTAGTTCTCTTCCATAAACTGGAGACTGAGTAATCTTGAAAAATAACCTTTTGAATGGATACGGTTGAAGCAAATGCATAATGGCCCCGGTCGCACGGCAAAGTTGCCGCGGGAGAGGCATGGAAGGTGGGTGGATTATCTGGGCGCGATCACACCCCAACATCTGGGAAGTGGAGCGCACCCATGGCTTACCACCGACAATGCGCATTTAAAAACTATTACCTCCAAGGTACTAGTAAACGTTTGCCACAGGCTGCCTCCAGACGCCCGTGGTGTGATCCCGCCGGCGCGTAGCATTCCCCTCTGGTCCCTCATTTACCCGCTGGCGCCGAGGGAAGGACCTGTGGTGTGCCGCCAGCCCGTCTGATCACGTAATCGCGGATCAAACTGCGCCAGGGCAATTAGCCACGCCTCCCCCCCCCCGCGATATCCGGCCCGTGTGACCGGGGCCAATATATAATAATAAAATGAGACTATGCATAGGAAAAGAGATGGAAGAAGCTTGTACTTTGTACAGAATTCTTCTTCAGAGGGAGGTGGTAAAAATCCAAACAGATGTTTGAACAGCTTGGCTGATGTTTACGTTCCCTAGGCAGATCTGTTGCTCTTCAACAGATACATATGATGTGACTTAGAAAATCCATGCTATTCTTCTCTTTGTAAAAATAAGGGAAAGTTCAGTGGTAGAGTACATGCTTTGCATATAGAAGGTATTAGATTCAACTATGTCTCATGTGGCTGAAAGGATCTCAGGTAACAGGACTAGGAAAGACATTTGCCCAAGATCTTGGAGTACTGGTTAGACTAGATGGTCCTGTACTGAAATACACTGGGATCAACACGCGTTAATGATCAGCTCATGCTTTATTGTGATACAGCTCAAACTAAAGACAAAATAGCAGGACAGGAGCCCTGCTTAAATTCGCAACCAACACCACACCCCACACACACACACTTCCCATGATAGGTTATTCACAGAGGCGCTCCTGGGCAATAGGTCTATTATAGCAGTCTATTGTTCTGTGACTCCATAGGTCTATTATAGCAGTCTATTGTTCTGTGACTCCATGCTGGGTCTGACGAGGTTAGGCTAGTATAAAACATGTACCATATGAAACAATCATCAGACTTTGTACAAAACAGTTTCATGCACTCAGGTCTCTCCTCCAGAGAGACAGATCAGAGGCTAAGCCTGAGCATCTTTGGTAAATGATACTGGAACTGGCTTTAATGGCTAAAGCTGACTGATTTTAACATTCATTGTGCTTTCCCTTGAGTCTTAGACTATTTATTTTGTGCAAGGCTGCTTTCAATGGACTTTAGGGTGCAGGTGGGCTACACATGAACACATGAAGCTGCCTTATACTGAATCGAATGTCTGGTCCATCAAAGTCAGTATTGTCTACTCTGACTGGCAGTGGCTCTCCAGGTTCTTAGGTTACCGGTCTTTCACATCACCTACAATCTGATCCTTATTGGCAATGCTGAGGGTTGAACCTGGCACCTTCTTCATGCTAAGTGGATGCTCTACACTGAGCCATGGCCCCTCCTCTCTCCCCTACAAACTTTAACAAACAAGATTACAGGTAGGTTTTATTGAGGCCTTTCAAACCCTAAGACAGAGAAGTCAGTGAATAATATTCGCTATTTCTACAATTGAATGCCTCCTTCCCAGTAAAACATTTTTAAATCTTCAGTATGATTTGGATTTCACCAAGCCTTTAGAAAACAGGGTGCGTATGAAGTAAGCCACTGTAAACATGATTATATGGTATTATTGGCCCTGGTCACACGGGCCGGGAAAAACAGGGGGGAGGCATGGCAATTTGCCGCGCTGCAATTTGCCGCACGACAACGCGATCAGACACATTGGCGGCAACTCATGGTTCCGGCCCTCAGCGTGTGCGCTGCAATGCAGATGGCCGGAAGGGAAAAGCCGCGCCGGTGCGATCACACCACGGGAGTCCGGAGGCAGCCCGTGGCAAACGGTTTGCCACCACCTTTGTTGAGGTATTTTTTTAACGTGCATTTTCGGCGGCGTGCCATGGGTTAGCCATGGGTGTGCTCCACTTCCCAGATGTTGTGGTGTGATCGCAGCTGGAAAATCCGCCATCCACTTGTGACTCTCCCACGGCAAATTCGCCGTGTGAACGGGGCCATTGTATGCATCATACTGTGACAGTAGTGGTGGTAATAGAAAATTTATTCAGCAAAACTATCCTTTGAATGAAGGTGGGAGAAGGCAGTAAAAACGTTAAGGGTCTGTTAAATACTGGGTTCTAGACGCATTGCAGTGATCAGCTCTAGTTTATTCAGTGATTTCAGCAAACTACAAGACAAACAATCAGGGCTTGAGCCCTGCTTATAAAGCCTGCAAACACCACACCCAACACACACCCACTCCCAGTGATAGGCTATGTACATTACAACGCTTATCTATTGGTTAGATCCTGGATCCAGGCAAGCTATTGTTCTACTGAAGCAGGCTCAGCGCGTTCTAGGTACAGCTTGAGGAATGGCATTAGGCTCAATACATAACAGGGTCACAGTTATGTGTGAGCCAGAGGTTGCCACTCCTAATTGCCATGGTGTAGTCCTGCAAGCTGCAAAACAAGGCTTCAGAGTATCACTCTCATATGCTTCCAAATTAATATTTATTGTATGATGCTTGTGGGCTCACCTCCCAGCATAGTAGTGCCCCATATTTTCCCATGGGCCTCTGGCATCATGTAAGTTTCTTTAGAATCCAGAAATGGCCCATGTCTGTCAGAATCAGTCATACCATGTTGCACTACACTACCCCTGGATTATGTGGTAGTCACTCAGGTGAAACCATGGATCTCACACTGCAAACAAAACTTTCTCATGATGTCACATCCCTAGAGTCTTACATAGATGTCAGGCAACCACATGAAGCAGATTTCAGATGGAGAAACTTGAGAAAGTATAGTATGGGACCATAGAGCAATGATAATGTAAGGGAGAAAACAGAGCCCTATTTTTAGTGTCTCCCAGTCTTGTATATTTTCTTCCACCAAACATAAGAACTGCTGCATTGAAGCTGCCTCTCCTAATGAGAAGCACCAGGGAGGAGATCTGTAAACAAGCAATCTCATTTGACTAGCCTGGCTTTTCACGGACTCAAGTGATTCATGATTGATCAGTGATTCATCATTGGACAACACAGGGAGTCTATGCCTGGGAGAGGGAGGGGGGAAAGGGAAAAAAGCACAGCTTCCGGCTGCCTGAAACTGTGACTTTCATTCTCTGTGGTATACCAACTACAGTCCCCACACAGGAGAATAAATACTGCATCGTACCTGCAGGCTGCAGCTGCTTGACATACAAAAGAGTTCTTTGGTTGGAAAAAAAAGGGGAGAGGGAAACCAGAGAAGCACTTTTAAAAGCAGGACAACTAAGCTGTAGGTCTCAGGCCCAATTCCACAGTGTATGGATAAGAAACACAGCTGGACCAGTTACATCAAAAGAGTACTGAATAAGGAAGATTCTGAATATGAAGCTAAGAAGGCTACAACAAAGGCAGCAGTGTTAATGTGTATGGGACACAGGAGAAGTGAAAAGGCCATCTGTACAGAATTTACTGCTATACCATTTGCTCTTTCTGCCTATTGTCTTCCCAACTTTGATCTAAACAGACCAAAAAAAGCTTGCTGAAGCAGTGCCAAAGAAAGCTGCCAGCACGAAGACCAGTCAGGACTTCAATCTGAAACAAACGCAGAAACTCTTAGAGGAAAGCCCTGAAGCACACACAGCACCATGGATCGATTCCGGATGATCTTCCAGTACTTCCAGTCTAATTCAGAATCAGTGATGAATGGGATTTGCGGGCTTCTGGCACTGGCTAGTGTCAAGATTTACACCTCCTTTGACTTCAACTGCCCCTGCCTCCCTGAGTACAATATGGCGTATGGCTTGGGGATAATGTTTATTCCTCCTGTGGTCCTGTTGCTCTGTGGTTTCATTGTCAACAGACAGTGTGTGGTGGCCATCGAGGAGTGGAAGAGACCCACTGGGAACAGAAAGAAGAACATGGCTATTATCAGGTGGGGGATTTCAGTCAACATGTAAATGAGTTTCAGTAATGTGATTTCCTTACCTGTTGCATCCCCTCTCCTTTTCTTCCCCCATTTGTGGGATTTTAAGCTCCTTTAAGTTAGTTTAGGACTGATTTAGCATTCATATTGAACCTTTAATTTTCAGAGTGATTTAACGGTCTTAATCTCGCCTGATGTGAAATGTTATTACAATCCCCATTTTATTGTCACTTCCTCTAATACCAAAGTTCATGGTTGAATGCCTGTCAGCTAGGCTAAGAAAAGGAGCTAAACACAGAGAAGGTATGGGTTTCTGCATGCTCAGAAGACTCAGCTGGAAACTGAAAAACAAAAAAACAAGAAAACCACAAACAGACTGATGAGGACTGCAAAGGCACTTTTGCTCTTGTAGAGGCACAAAATGTTGAGGGCGATTAAGCATGATCTGCTCAAGCTGTGGAGGATGTGAAATATGCATTCCCCATTCCACTCCCAACTCTCCCATACAGCATGGACAGGGGAAGGTAAAATAATTCCCCCTTCCCTGAATTGGGGGGGCATAGAAAGAGAGCTCAAGGGGCAGCAAAAATGCCTTCAGATTCCCATCAGGAGGTTCCTTAGGTATGCAGAAGAACCTCATTTTACAAGTTAAAAGAAGTAGCAAACAGCCTGATAAGGGCTGAGCATATTTGTTCCTCTCCAGGAAAATCATGCAGGGCAGTTAAAGTTAAAGGAGGGAAACAAACAAAAGAGAAGAGAGGTGAAACTAGCCTATTTAAAACCCTAGTAGATTGTAGTGTAGTGCAGAGTAAGCCAAGGATCCTTCCCAAATATTCCTCTCCTGTGCTGTACTACTCAGATTGGTGGCAAGATGGATGACTAAGTTCCTGTTCATTTGGCACTGAATCTTAGCAAGGAAAACATATTTGCTAAGGTAATGCGGAGTTCAATTCTCAGTGTAAAAGATCAGGAGTGTCTTGTGTAGGCTGTTGGCTTTCTAAATAAATGTGTTCACACATGTGCACACAAAAAATCTATCTAGCACACATCTCATTTCCAAATCCACAAAGCTTTAGAGGCAATATATAACAGCATGCAGGGCTCTCATAGTAGGATAATCAATTCTGAAGGCACTTCCAGTTCCTTATGGCTTAATACAAGTTGTGTGCCATGATGAGGATGGGATGTTATGATTAAGTGATTTAAGCATCCAGTTTTCATACTTCTGTTCATGAACATCTGACATAACATCCATAAAGAGAAGTTACAGTTCTAAATAGCAGCACACACACATATGCTGAATACATATTTGGTATCTGCAAAGATTACCCTGTGTGAAAAGCAGATATGAAAGCTACTTGTGCACCTGTTGCTGCAGGTTGATCATAAGGTCTGGAGACACCTTTTATTAATAGCCCCTAAATATCTTTTTTCCAAAAAATGTATCTTTTTCCATTTCAAACCCAGTCGTATCCTGGGTCAGCACCACATTCTATTGGGTTCCAAAGATTAATAGCGTGCTATTGCGGGGGGGGGGGGGGGGGGTTGATTTCCTTTTATCCAGGTTTTATGTGGTTTCTGTATTACGCAAGAGAAGAAACAAATACTTCTTCCTTTTTTTGAATCAGTTTATGATTTAATGTGTATCCATCATGTCTTTCTGTAATTCTTACTCTTATAAACTGAGCAGATTAGGCCAGGACTGCAATCTATACACCTTTGATCATTTCCATTTATGTTTTTTCTAACAAATATACTATGATGTTTGCCAAGTAAAATCCTTTACAGAGTTAACAGCTCATAGAAATGTAATTTTCTCACCTCTGTTTTTGCTTGTGCTAAGCAAATTAGGTTACCAAAGAGAAACCCCCAGTTTTCAGAGATACCAGATCAATTAACGCTTCTCTGTCCAACACACAGGTACATTTGTTCCTCCATCCTGCAACGGGCTATGATTGCACCCATTGTTTGGATCCTAGTCACCCTTCTTGATGGGAAGTGCTTTGTCTGTGCCTTCAGCAATTCTGTTGATCCTGATAAGTTTTCAGGTTTTGCCAACGTTACCCCTGCCCATGTGCAGCTGTTGCTCTCCAAGTTCCCTTGCAAGGAGGATGAGCTCATAATGAACAACACTTCCCGCAAAGCAGTGTCCAGGTACCTCAGATGCTGGTCACAGGTAAGTGAAAAGCTTCTGTAAGGCCTCTATCTGTTGTAATTCTGTAGTGTCATTTGGAACCCTTTGTCTGCTTAGGTGCCTGAGAGTGGCATTTTACTGAAATAGGAAAAAGTCAGTTCTTCAAAAGCATCAGGTCCATCCTCAGAATATTCTCCTGAACACAGATATAAGAAGCATCATATTACCCTTGGTTGCTGTATTCTATAGCAAGAACAACCAGCATATGATCCATGGGAGATAGTTGGGGGCACAAGAAGGTACAGATTAGTAACAACTAACTGGGGGCTTGCAAGGAACTATTAACTGGGAAACTTTCCTCAGACCCAGATCTCTTCTTCCAATATATTATAAGCTTTTATGGCTGTAAAGTACTGGGTTCGCACATGGAGACTCGAACTACGACATGCTAACTAGACACATTTATTGTACTTCACAAGAGAACACACACGGCCCGGCAAGGGCCAACTATATACACTCCACCCGGGCACACCCACAGTTCCATTGGGGGCTTTGAATTTCCCTCCAAGGTCCTATTGGAGGACTCAGGGTGGTGGAGGAGGAGGAGGAGGAGGAGATTGGATTTATACCCCGCCCTTCACTTGGAGTCTCAGAGCGGCTTACAAACTCCTTTCCCTTCCCCTCCCCACAACAGACACCCTGTGAGGTGGGTGGGGCTGAGAGAGCTCTGACAGAAACTGCTCTTTTTCAAGGACAGCTGTGCCAGAGCTTGTGACTGACCCAAGGTCACATCAGCAGGTGCAAGTGGAGGGGAGAGGATTCAAACCCGGTTCTCTCAGATTAAAGTCCGCACACTTAACCACTACACCAAACTGGCTCTCTACACCAAACTGGCTCTCTCTAGGATCCTTGGTCCCTATTGTGTTTGGAACCAAGCTAAGGAGTGAGGCCGCAGACTCCTGGTGGTGGTCCATGGACATAACAATGGCCTTGGGCAGGCTGGTTTCCCCACTCCTCTTGTTTTCTGTTTTTGTTTAATTGACACACAACCGTCCACAGTGTGCTATGCCTCCTGTACTGCAGGAAAACCTCCACCCACCCTCCTCTCCCTCCCTCCTGCACTGCAGGAAAACCACTGCCTGCCACAGTGTGTGTCCATTGCATGAAAGAGAAAGGGGAGAGACGATGCTCCAGAAACTTTAAAGGGAAGGATAAGAAAGTGATTACAAGAGCACTGAAGGAGGGGCAGAGAGCTACTTTTAATTGGAGAGTGACTGTTCACTTCTGAGTGATATTCTGCCCAACCCTGATTTAGGCAGGGACCACATACCTTGTGTACAGCACCCTGGATTAAATAAATGTTAATTATCACTAAATCAATCAATATCAACTAAAAGAAATCGGCAGGCTCCTTCTTCTGCAGAGAATTGGACTAGAGGACCAGAGAGGTTCTCTGCAAGGTTATTATTGCTTGATATTCTGGCAGCAGAAAATTAATGTCCTCCTAAATATGTGTTGCTTTCTTGAGGCTGGATTGGGTATTTTTCGTTATAAAATTCATAGCCCTCTGCTTATATTTCTTTTGCCCTCTAGGCTCTTGGCTGGAGTATACTGCTGATGCTTATTTTGATAGCTTTCCTTGCCCGGTCTCTCAGGCCCTGCTTCAATCAAGCTGCCTTCCTGCAGACTCGCTACTGGAGTAACTACATTGATATTGAGCAAAAGATATTTGATGAAACTTGCTGTGAGCATGCTCGGGACTTTGCACACAAGTGCATCCTCCATTTCTTTGAGAGCATGCAGAAAGAAATCAAGCTAAGGCGGTTCAATGCCCACAGAGAAGAAGAGGAAGGCAAAGAAGGGGAGAAAGATCACTTGCGAGGTATCACCAATGAGGAGCAGATGAACGAACTCCTTCAGTCATGGTACTACAGCAAACCGCGGCTGGATCTGAGCCGAACAACCCAGCAGCAATGCCTGAGCACAGACAGGACATCTATGCATTTGGTAGACACCACGACTAATAGGTGGCATCCCCAGCCAAGGTCTACAACTACAAGACAAACAGATGTTTAAAAGGCAACTGGCAGCATTAGTGTGGACCTCTCTCACAAATTCCATGTAACATCCCTTAGAAATAGGCTAAACTGATCAGGAAAAAATAGCCCAGTGGTCTTATTTAATTTGTATCTTGTTGTTCCCCCTACTTAGCCCCCAAGGCAGCTTACAACATCATTTTATGACACAACTACTCCACAAAGTAGGTTAGGGATGAGAGTGACGGGCCCGCGATCACCAAACAAGTTTCCATGGCAGAGGGGGGGACCGGAACCGGGGTCTCCCTGGACTTAGTCTGAGACAGTACCCAGTATAGCATGGTTGCTCTCACCCCCACCACACTGGCTTTTCTTGTGCCTTTCACGTAAGCTGAATAAGCATGTGTAACTCTTTAAGGCATGAAGTAGCTGAACAATGGCTGCGGTCACATGGAGCATTAGGCACGCTAGAGAGATGGAAGATAGGCGGATTTTCCGGGCGCGATCTCACCGCCACATCTGGGAAGCATAGAGCTCCCGTGGCTCACCCGAGGCTTCACACCAAAGATACGCTGTAAAAAACTAGTACCTCCGAGGTACTAGTTTCCGGAAACTGCGGGGCATGGGCGGGCGTCTGATCGTGTTTCCGGTGGTAGTTCCGGCACCCGCCCATGTCCCCTCGCAAAAAGGGTTTTTTCCCCCAAGTCTCCACGGATGCGCACAAGCACCCAACGGAGCATGCGCACACTTTAGTTTAAAAAAAACAACACGACCCCGTTTGCCCCGCGGACCCGCTTCTTTGCAGCACCGCAGGATTGTCCTGTGATCGGCACCTCCCCCCTAACCACAGGACCTCCACTCCACGGGACGTCTGCTCGCGCAACCGCGCATTATTTTGCCCCGGGGCAAACAGCCACGCTTCCCCCCTGCATTTTCCGGCCCGTATGACCGGGGCCATCAATGTTTATTTATGTATTTATTTATTGGGATTTATATCCCACCCTCCCCCACAAGTGGGCTCAGGGCAGGTTACAATATACTAATAAAACAGATTAAAACAATATCCATACAACCCAATTTAAATATTTGCACAAGCTGTTATTAAAGGCACAAGACCGAAGCTAGTTAAAAATAAAACTGTTGGCAACTCTAGCTAGCAAAGGTATGAAAGGGAGATCAAATGATCAGAAGGACAATAAAACATCATTAAGGTATCGAGCAGTATGAAATCCTTCGACAGAAAGAACTAATTTCCAAAACTCCAGCTCTTTTGTCTGCCTTCCATGTTTAAATAACTATTTCTTGTTCAAACTAGAAAATGGCAAGTAGACAGCATAGAACAACAGTAGACCTTTTCACATGTCCTGGACCTACCAATCGCACATATCAGGAACTTACACTACCCATTATCCTCCCAGTACCCACAATCGCCATTTCATCTTTTTATGCAATTACTGCATGCGCTGCTAATAACATTACTTTGAAAATATCCTGATTTTGTTTCTCAATTCTATGGTTTCCCAATACACCCATAAATAATAAATCTACATCTATAACCAGGTTCACTTTACATAGCACTGCTATTTTCCCCCGTATCTTTTCCCAAAAATCTATCACTTTTGGGCATTCCCACCATAAGTGAGAATACCACCCTTCTTTTGCATTACAGTGCCAGCAATTGGGTTTCATTCCTTTTATCATATATGCCAGTTGTGCAGGAGTTCTGTACCACTTCCATATTATCTTTCTTTCAAGTTCTCTATACTTTTCTAGCTTAATTTTCTTCAAGTTCACCATTAACTTATTGACATCCTCAGTAGTAATTTGTTTTTCCTTATTCCATTTGTTTTTTAAGCTTCTGCACATAAATTCCTTATCTTTCACCAATTCTAAATAAATCTTCCCTGCCAATCCTTTTTTTATTTCTTTCACATATAGTATTTGTTCCATATTATTATCTTCCCTTTTAATAGCTTCTTTATACTTATCTTGTTTAATTAAAGAATATAATCCCATCGAATTTAACCAATATCTATTTCCTAGTTTTTGATTCAACTCCTGAGGCGTTAGTGGATTCCCTTGGCTATTATACATATCCTTCACTCTTAATATTCCTTCCTTCTGCAGGTCGTCCCAGAATTTCGGATTCATCTCCTTCTCCCATATATACCTAAGTGGAGTCCATTTTGAAGTTTGTGGCATCAATACCTTTTCCCACCTCTTCCAAACAAGTAAAGCTGTTTTCCTTGGTCCTTCTGCTTGTCTTATTTCTTTTCGTAGATCTCTAGAATACATTCCATAACTTCCTGCTCCCTTATTTATCTCAGATTCCAATCTTACCCACTTGTCCTCTTTCCTCCATTCTAACTCCATCACTATTTTTAGCTGAAATGCATCATAATAAGCTTGTATACATGGTAACCCCCATCCTAAATCATCTTGGGGCATATATACTAATTTTTTTATCATTCTTGATTTTTTCCGTCCAAACACCCAGTTTTTAATATGTTCATCCCATTTCCTCATAACTGCTTGGTCTAATTCTATTGGGAGTACCTGAAGTAAATATAGCATCTTTGGAAGTATAAACATCTTTACTGCTCTAATTTTCCCTAAAATACTCAAATTCTTGTTTTTCCACTCCTTCAGTTTCTTTATTATCTTTGACCAAGCCTTATTATAATTAATTTTTTGCAGCCTCTCTATATTTCTATCGAGATATACTCCTAGATATTTAATCTTCCGAACTCCTGATTTCATCCCTGTTAGCTCTAGTATCGCTCTTTTAGTTTCTCTATCTACATTACTAAACATTATTTCAGATTTCTTAATATTTATTCCAAGCCCAGAACTTAACTTAAAATCGTCTAAAATAACTAACAATTCTCTTATTGCCTGTAATGGGTTACTTATTGTCAGCAGGATATCATCCGCAAAGAGATTCAGTTTAAGTTCTTCCTTGCCTATTTGGAATCCCTGAATTCTACCACTATTTCGTATCCTATCTGCTAGGGGTTCCATTGCTAATGCAAATAGCCTAGGGGACAATGGGCACCCTTGCTTTACTCCTCTCTCAATTAAGATTTCTCTAGTATGTCCATCATTTATTCTAATGACTGCTTTGCCTCCCCTATAAATTTCCCTTATAGTATTCAAATACGGTCCCCTAAAGCCAAATTTTTCCAATACCTGCATTAGATAATCATGATTTAAAGTGTCGAACGCCTTATATACATCTAATTTTAATAAAACTAATGTTTTCTTATTTTTACAGGACAAGGCATTTAGTATATTTCTCAATGGGTGGGCTATGAATCTATTTTTGACAAAGCCATATTGATCTTCCTTGACTAATTTTGATAGCAGTTTTCCCAATCTATTATCCAACACTTTTGTAAAAATTTTATAATCTTGATTCATCAGACTAATTGGTCTATATGAATTTATATCTAATGGATCCCTCTGGGGTTTTAATATTGGTAGAATTTCAGCTTTCTTCCATGTGTCTGGCATTTTGCCTTCTTTTAGAATATAATTAAATAATCTTTGCATTTCTGGAATCAGAATCTCCGCCATTTCTTTATAATATTCTGCCGTGAACCCATCCAACCCGGGGGATTTCCTATTTTTTAACCCTTTTATTACTTCTGCTATTTCCTTCTTTGTAATTTCTTCATTCAGTCTTTCTCTCTGTTCTGATGTTAACTTCTTATCTAGTTGTTCCTCAAATTTTTGGTTTTCTCCAGATTTAAATAGTTGCTGATAAAATTTAGCAAATTCCTCTCTTATCTGGGTATTTTTAAAAAGCTGGTTCCCCCCATCCCCCTTGACACATCCTATTTTTTGTTTTTCTTTTCTTGATTTTAGATAATTAGCCATTCTTTTCATTGTATTCATATTAATTCTATGATATTCGTTTTTTACTAATATTTCTTTTTTCCACATAGACAAAGAATCTAAATTCTCTAAGTCTTTTTTAAGTTTTTTTAATAATTCCTGAGTCTGCCTATTATAGTTACTCTGAAGTTCCTTTTGTTTTAGCGTGATTTCATTTACTATCCTCCTTCTCTCCTTATTATTTTCTCTTTTAATTCTAATTTCCTTAGCAATATAAACTCCCCTTATCACTGCTTTGGCTGCATCCCAAACTACTTCTTCCCTGGCTGAGTTCCTATTCTCTCTAAAGTAACATTCTATGTTTTTCCTTACGTCCAACCGATCCTCTTCAATTAAAGGCAAATTTGCCTTATATCGCCAAATAAACTCTTTTCGCTCTTCGCTTAATTTAAATTGAACTACCAAAGGAGCATGGTCCGAAATCCATATAGGCTCAGTTATTGTTTTCACCACCTCTATCTCATTTGTTTCCTTTACTAAAACATAATCAATATATGAAAAGTTCTTAAATCTATTAGAGAAGTATGTAGGTTGTAACGTTTTCCCTCCATACATAAATGCATCTTTCAATTTCCATTTCTTAAGCTTCAGAGTTTTACTTTTCCTAAAATCATAATTAACATCTCCTGCCACTACCAATTCGCCTTCATAGAAGTTCTGCAGTTTCTGAAATATCTTATTCAAAAATCTTACCTGGCCTGTATTTGGTGCATATATTGAAGCTATTGTAAACTTCCTATTATTCATCTTAAATTTCAGAAAAGCATATCTTCCTTCTAAGTCTACTATTTGATCTAATACTTCTATCTTCCAACTAGCATGTATAAGGATCGCTACCCCTCTTGCTTTCTTAGTTCCTCTTGCTTCCACCTTTGTTTCCCACAGTGGCGAATTTAACAAAGGTTTTTTATCCTTTTTAGATTTGTGGGTTTCCTGCAAACACACTATATTTATTCCATGTTTTTTAATCAAATTTTTTAATCTGTACCTCTTTAAATCTGAAGCCAAACCATTTATATTTATAGATAACAATTTTAATGTCTCAACCATTTTCGTCTATACATTCATTATATCTTTGCTCATGTCTATCCTTTATTACTTCGATGGTCCCCCTCATCCCCTTTCCCCCTCCCCGAAGAGCCT